CCCCAAAACCCCAAAACCCCAAAACCCCAAAACCCCAAAACCCCAAAACCCCACTATCTTTATAAATTATCGAATCATTACTATTCATTAATTTATAATGGAAGACATCGAAAAACTTGAAGAGCAATTTAGTACTCTCGCTGAATCAATCTTGAGATCTAGTAAAAGGTAACAAGAAGCTTAAGACAATTCGTGCATGTACCATTCAGCTTATACATTACAAGATATTTTTGTATTTAATTCAGATAAGATCTGACCAAAATTTGACCTCTTTGAACTTTCTTATTTTTCACTATAGATCTTATCAAAGACAAAGAGATCCTGAACTGACCCTTGAGTCTGAGGATACATTTTCATCAAAGTAAGATAGGCTTCATTGCTTTAAATAAGTTTAAATCAATTTAGCTTTTGATTAATTTCGTCTCGAAAATCATTCTAAATCCCCGATCTTTTAACTAATCTCATCCAAAAATATAGGGAAGAAGCCACTGGAGAAACTCAAAAATTAGTTGACTTCTCCTCTAATCTGTTAAGCAAGTGCAAGCAGCTCACTGAAGAAAGGTACTAAATCTCTTAGCAATAAGTAGTTTGATGAGAATTGACTTCTCGTAATGATTGAGAGGAATCACAGTTATCCAGATTTTCACTCAAAATATTATGATTTAAACTTTTTGAAATCTTTCTGAAACTTTGAAAGTTAAGACCAAATTTATATGAATTCGCATAAGCATTGTTGGCAATTAGTTGACCATTGTTGTAGAGAGGAAGGATATGGAGGAAATTTTGATATGTTCCTTGAACTTGAGAATCAGAATGACCAGCTTAAGCAAAAACTTGGTAAATTTCCTTCAACATCTCTAGAAACTGTCGAAGGAATTTTAGCTCGTCGAGAAAAAGAAATTGAGCAGATGTCTCAAGAGAACCAAGACCTTGAGTACATCAATAGAGGAAATGAAAGAAGAATGCAAACCATGGAAGCTGAACACAAATCAAAAATACAAGAACTTCAGGATGAAAATTCTAACTCTGACGAAGACCTTGAGAATACAAGTCATAGCTACAGCTTAATAAAAACCAAAGATACTGCTATTCCAAGGAGAAGTAAACAATTCAACACTCAGAGTTATAAGCCAGTGCTTACCAATACTGAAGAGACTAAAAGGCTAACTAAGGTTGTGATGGACCTTTTCAAACTCACTCATCATGTTGTTGACCAATTCCAAAATCAAAAGGAGCAATTTGAAGGGCAAGAAACTGTGATTCAAAGAATTGATGATGAAATTGAAAAGATTCTGAGCAAGCAGAAAGAACTAATCAATGCTCAAGTTGATCTGAGCACTGGAGTCAATGACATGAGCGATGAACTAGAGGAGCATTGGAAGTTGATAGAACAAATCACAGCAGAGAACAAAACTCTTGATGAAAGAATGTACAAGATGACAGAAAAGACCATACCTTCCCTGAAAACATTTTTACTGAATAAATCAACTATGCTGATGAACTCTTTGAAGCAGTCTTCAACAGCCGTGGGAAGTTCTCATCCAAGGTCATCAATCGTGCTAGAAAATCAGCTGAACCAAATCAATGTTTCCAGCCTTGATCAGCATTTGCCTGTGATGAATTCTGTCACATCGAATGATATCGCAGAGTCATATTCTTCAAGCACTTCAATAGAGGGACCTCGAGAGGAAATGCTCAAGCAAGACTCGGTCTATATGAGAGTAGAAGAAAGCGTTCAGTCCTCAGGCTTACTTGGAAATAGAGCTAGAGAACTTGAAGAGGATCCTGAGATCCAAAAGCCATCCGTTTTGGATGAAATTGATGATGTATCGTCTAACTCTTCTGTCCAATCAGATCTTGAGAGTCAGCCAAGACAAACAATTTCAACCAATGGGGTTGAAAATGAGAAAGAGTCAAGCAACAATGATTCTGAGCCAGAAGAGTTTGATGTTGATAAGCAGAGAGGTAAGAAATAAAGCTTTCAAATCAAATTTTGCTAAATTTAGCCAGAAATGTTCGCACCAATAGATTGGATTTTTATAAATTTTAGTTCAAAGTTATCCTAATTCAAATTCTTGTACCTATGCATACTTTAATTTTATAAGGTACAGAAAATGCAATAACATAGCATAAAGCTTGGTTCTTCCTTATGAATTGTTTAACCAACAAGAATTTAGATCAAAATTCCATTAATTATGAAAACCCTCTCTTTCAGAAACTTCATTCTATTAAGTTTGTTACCTCCAACTTATATAAATTTTAATACCGGATGGAATTTCAAACTAAAAACACTAAAGGAGCAATCTAACTTTTATTAAAATAATCTTCCTTTAACATCTAAACCCCTAAAATTTGATATTTTCTTGACAAAAAGCTAAATAGTTCATTTTAGTCTCATCTCCAATTAAGGAAACTTCTAATTTTTAGTCAACTATAAAATTAAGTTTTTTATTACCTGTCACTGTAACCTAAATCCTTATATAGAGATTAGAAAAGCGACACAGAGTTTGACAAGCCCAAAAACCTTTGTACAGAATAAGTCTGAGGCCATGATCCCTCAGGTAAGTATCAAACTTAAAATTCCCAAAAATTACAATGACACAAAATTGTGACTAACTAATACGTCTTTTGTGATTCTTTCTGGTAACTTTCTGGAGTACCTAAATTTTCCATCCTAAAGTTGTAAATACTCATAATTTTCTGGAGAGATTTTCAAGCGACCAATTTTGGTAAAGAGAAGGAAGCAAACCAGTTTCTTTCTCATAAAATCCAAACACTCAAATTTTCCAAAGGATTTGCTATTTCAAATTTGGAAAATTATTAGCTTTACTGGACTCGATAATTGTTCAAAATTTTGAAGACCGCCAAAAATGTTAAACCTTAAAGTAGTATTATTTTCACTAAAATTCAAGCTATTAAAATTAACTTAATTTCCAGACATGACCGTCCCAAAATTTTATGGGCTATCAGGACTTAACCTCCCAATCTTTTCATGAAGAAATTCCTGAAAACACTCAAATTAGGCCTATTCAGGTATTTCCCCTAAAACCTAATTCTCACTAAAAATAGAGCGAATTACTGAAGAGAAGCTCAAATGTAGAGACCAAGATGAAGAAAAGTTCTCTTGAAACAATCCTCGAGAAAACCCGAGAGACTAAAGATAGCAGATTAATGAAATCTTCAATCATGATCGACGATATAGCGCAGAACAGAAATTTAAGAGCCTCTACACTTGGAATCAGGAGGAACAGTGTGATGCCAAAAATGATCTCCAGATTGACTGATAGTGACAAAGAGTTTACGAAAGTTAAGACTTCTAAGAACTGGAAGATTCAGGGAGACAAGCTGTACACTCAAATGGTTAATTCCTACAATCACCAACTCAGGCAGAAATATATCTGTGATTTAGCAGCGATGAAAGTACTTTCAGACAGAAAAATCCCTGGATACGACATTTCGACTCTCCAAAAGGCACAGGTTGAATCAAGCGTAAGCCTTAATTCCATATTTTTAGAGTAAAGGTCCAACTTTGGGAAGTATTCATTATGAAGAAGGAAAGCTCGAATCGAAGGACTGTAAGTAATTTTATCGATATCTTTAAAAATTAGTCATCTTTTTGAAGCAACAAGTAGTCTTTTTGATATTTATACTTTGTTTTCTTGTTAATGCTTGGTCCAGCAAATTATCATTTTGGCAATCTTCAGAGCATGACTCGTGTGAATACTGGTAGAAAAGAATCTGAAATCCAGACTTCTCTCAAAGATCGAGACAATAGCTACCACAGGATCAGTAAGCTTCAAAATTATTAAAGATTTTAAATTATATCTAGTTGATGACGAGACACATATCCCAGAGCAGAAATCTTCTTCACTCAAAAAGAAGATCAAGGAAGTCCAATTTGGAGCTAGCAAATCAAGAGATGGCAGTCACAACATTACCAATAACTCAAGATCAGATAAATGCTGCACCATATTTTAACCTAAGAGTAAAGGTATAAATAATTTTTTATAGGGGTTTTGGGGTTTTGGGGTTTTGGGGTTTTGGGGTTTTGGGGTTTTGGGGTTTTGGGG